GATCTTAATCCACTTATGTCGGAATTTCGGAGCTTTATGCATTGTTTAGGCTACAGATTTACAAGGGTGTTATAATAATTTTCAACAAGAAAATCATCTTTAAGACGTACAACCTTGTAACATGTTATAGCTCTGTAGTGCGAACATACCATTACGGCTCCCCGTTAACATTACAACCTATGATACGTGGTGTAGCTTATCTTGATATCAGAATCACTGGAAATAATATATATGACGTTTGATATCAAGATATCCTATATCACGTAATAGTGTGAACGGGGTATTAGAGTTGGACATACAAGAGTTACACATCAGCACTACATATCATCTGCCCTCAAGTCAGGTCCCTCTAATAATTTAATCAATTAGAAAAATCATGGATCTACATACAAAATGATCCAATTGATAATTAAATTAAAACAAACCTTTTCATTTGCATTCTAATATAACATTTCAACTTTTCCTAGGTAAAAACTTGTTTCTGTTCCCAAATATGAGCCAGGGGCCACATTGCGCATCTCGAAACGAAAAACTTTTTCATACAAGCATTCGTGCCAAAAGTGTTTCGTTCCGAGATGCGCAATGTGGCCCCAGGTTTTATGTAAAAAACCTCTAAAGTAAAGAAAATAAAATAAAATCGCTAAATATTTTATGAAAGCCTCCATCAGATTAATCAGTTTGAGCTGAAATTAAGACATAGAAAACGACTGGCCCATGGCATTCACAAATCATGCATCTTAATCGTTTATCCTAAAACTTATTATTCATTAGCTCCGATATCGTAATCGAAAAAGTCAATAGTTACATTTTATTTTCTCGTTCATTTATATTACCACTTCACCTAATCATATACCCGACAATATTTTTGTCTCGATTAAATACTCTCAAAGTGAATGAGTTATAAAACTTCATGGTGCTTGTGCATGAGCCGAATGTCACCTTAAATGTTGCTGCTAAATGGTACATTTATCTTGGAAATTATTGCTCATTAGCAACTGCAAACGGTTGCTGCGCTGCGACTGTTTGATTTCTTGATGATCGAACCGTAGCGGATTATTTTCTACTGCGTACTAGTTCTGCAAAACATCACACCGGTGGCTTTAACAGTTCGGTATATACGTTCTAGCCTTACGGTAATATATGGGAATAATTAGAAAGTGGGATTTGTATATTGTTTGTCAGCCGGCTTAAATAGGGTGAAAGGATGCATCTCTACGTCTGTAATGGTTGACATCATTTATCGTCGAAAGAATGAATGACAATTCAATTTGGCACACAATCAAGAAGAAGGGTGTGATAATTTGAACAAATAAACCCAATAATCCGTTTTGGGATTGTAACACTTTCAACGAGACATGCGCCCTTATTAACTTGAAAACCAAAAAAAATCTTTCCAAAAAATTTGTCTTGACTGCTACAAATAACTAGACACTGGAAAAATCTCGACTAACGTGGTGCCCATAGCTATTTCATTCATCGATGCAAAAAAAAATCACATCCGTCCCAGACTGATGACACCGTGATAGGGGTTGCATCTGCCCTTCGCACGCGGAAAACATTGTTTATTTATACCACGATGATCGGCACTCGCAAGCAGGAATAGCAGTGGAAAAATGAAACAGTAAAAGTATACACCGTGCTCTCCAAAAAACGGATATGAACGAAACATCACATTGCTATTACTACCCATCAGAGACGATATTGTTGAAACGCGCCTCATTGTCATATACCATAGCACGGTGTGCCTGATGGTAATATTATTTGGAGGCAAATCGCATTGTGATAATTTATTAGTTGCACAAACGACATGAACATTGAAGGTCCAAGCGCAATTATAGCGAAAGCGGGACGACAGCGGCAACGGAAAAGCCCGATCTGAGTAAGGCTACTTTACGGATTGAAAACTAGTTAGAACCAAAACGACTTCGGTTAGGTATCTTGATGTAATTTATGACAACTGTCAAACTTTCCGTTTCCGTTCCACTTCCGCCCACATTGCATTTTGGATTTGAACTATTAAGCTGTTGTGCAGTTAAATTTAAAATCAATTATCAACACAAAAAGGTCAAAGAGATAATTCAAATTAAAAAAAACAATAAGAGGTTGAACGGCCTATAACGCTGTCCACGAGACAATTGCAATCAGCTGACTTTTTTGTTTACCAAGAATTTTTGAAAGATCGCAGTAGAACTGGCAGTTTATTCTCATATGAATCTCTGCTTTGTTTATGTTTACGTTCAGCATCACTCACACAATCTAGATTTCCAGCTGTCAGTTCCACTGAGAAACGTCTCTTGGATCACCTTATTGCCAATTCAGAGAAAAATTAGCATTTGGCGTCATATTTGACAACCGAAAATGACAGCCGCGACTGACAGCTGCTTTGGAAATTTCGAGCGCTGAACCAAAATCTTTAATTAAAGACCTTTTTTGCATGACAACGCATTATAAAACAATAACAAGTTAAGCCTGGTACGCAGCTGAAAAGTAATGACGTTTTTACGTGCTACGGGATAGGACACGGAATGCTAAAGAAATTACTTTTCCCTAGCATTTCTTGAAGCCTGATACGCAACTGAAAAGTAATGACGATTTTACGTGCTACAGGATAGGACACGGAATGCTAAAGAAATTACTTTTCTTTGACATTTCTTGACCCTGTACGCAGTTCAAAAGAAATCGGTAAAGGAAAGATCGATTACATTAGTATCGTGATCGACATGAAGGTGGCGCATTCTGAATGCAATTTCACTTTCTTTGCGGAATAATGGTCTAGTGCAAATTAATATAACGACACTTTAAAAAGCATGATCAACGAATGATTTTCTTTGGTATTTTGAGAACTTCTACCGATTGTACCTGTTATTTTTTTTTGCAAAAGCAACTTTAATGATTATTTGAACTAACTCTTTGATTATATTTGTGCAACAATAATTTTTGACATGCTAGATCATGCTTTGAAAATGTCCAGTTTCCTTATCTTTATTTCCGACGGAGAAAATCATATTTCCATTTATTTCCGTTACCTACATGATGCAATTGATTCTTTCTTAGGCATTGTAGCATAAGAATGTTTCTAAATACACATGATTTAGAATTTCTCTGTCTCTTGCAATTGGGAGAAGCCATGCTGTTTAAAGTGTCCTTATTTTAGTATCCTTTTTTGAAATTGCAAGTTTTACAAATTTAATAAAAATAAAAATGCGATTCCAAACGCTAACATAGAATCCTGATGTGAAGTTTATTTTGCAGTTGGTTTAAATACTAGGCAAGGTTCAAATGATGTTAAAGTGTTGTGAAAATCTCAAAATCTCAAAAACTCTAATCTCATTCTAGAGGTTATTCGCCTACGAGTATTGTCATGAAAAACAGAACTGTGCAATGTTCACCGGTGAGATTTCCTGTGTTGGTGCTATTTATTATTCTTAGTGTTTATTATGCATTATTCGATGAAAACCTAACAGAGAGAGAGTTATGCGTGAGTTTTGAATAAAAATATGTTTTTCCAGTGTGAGTGTGAATATGTGAAAATGCATGAAAATCTCCAGCATGAGATACCGTGTGAATTGCAACTCAGCGGCACAAACCGTGAAAAACGCATAAAAGCATATTTCAAAAAATTGTATTTTTATAAACTTTAAAAAAACAAGGACAATTGTTTTTTATCATTTTTTTAGTTATTTGTCAAAATTACTAAAAATAAATATCGTGTAAATTTTTCATGGAAAGATTTCCCTACAACTCTCTGTCTCTGATTAGAAATGACTTTTTTGTGCTAAGATTTATTGAAAAAAGTTGAAAACGCCATTTTGAAAAAAAAAAGATTCAAAATGGCTGAATTTTAGCAGAAATGTGAATGATCCTTTTTTGGTTTGTTTTTTTCCGTCGATCTTGTTTTCCGTGCTGAGCACCAATGCTACCGACGTGCCAGGAAGGCAGCTCTCCCACACCTGGACCCTACCTATCGACCCATCAACTCATGAACCGGGGACCAACGGCTTTACTTCCCATCCGAAGGAAGGCGTGATCAGAGATGTTATGCCTCAGAACATCCCGACGGCGCCGACTGGAATTGAACCCAGGCCTGCTGGGGTGAGAGGTAATCACGCTTACCACTACACCACCGGCGCCGTTAAATGTGGATGATAGCCCAAACAAATATGCAAATTTTCATGAAAACCGGAGAACGTCGATTCAAAAATTCATTTTTTTTTTTGCATTTATCTGCTCAACTGTGTTGTTGAGAGCCGTCGTAATGTCTCTTTAGGGACGTAATAAAGCCAAAGAAGAAGACCTATTAAAAAAAAATATTTATCGAGCACATCTTTCAAACCGATCAATACGATCATCAAACTATAAAAAACGAAAACTATTACCTTTTAAAATAAGATAAAACATCAAAAATCCGTTTATAACTTCCGAAGACATTACAAACATAGTAAAAACTGTGATTTAGGTTTGGTGGTTGAAGAGTTAATCAAAAAGAGTTTTCGGAGGCATCTGCCGACGGCAAATTTGTATCCACGATAAAAAAACGAACAAACATAATTCCAATGTCATGCAATTTGAAGGTTAACGGTTCTCTGGACTTCATAAATATAACACCAAAATTTTAAAATTACTCAATCACATTTTTCAACTCAAAGGTTATTCATCTAACCCACCGTGTACATCATATTCCCGGCTTTCTCCTGTTCTATTGTATAAGAATTTACACCACTCGATAAATTTACCCTCAATGTGTTTTAATTAAAATTTCATCGGGGTAGGTATTCATTACTGTGTGGCATGTGTGTGGCGAATGATTTCAATGTAAGGTAATGGCAGGAAATACAGAGAGACTTTGCGTTTACTCTCTTCTATCCAAATCCGAACCAGTCAGCCGCCAGTCGGCTAGAAGCTTGTTCTTGATCGAAGAGTTGATTTTGAGGAAACACCAAGAGGGGTGAATGATGAGTACGCACTTCAATTGAGCTGAGGGTACAGATGGGGATACTTACATCGTATTTATTTGGCCTCATTGTACCTTTTTATTTTGTATTAATAAAATGTCACATTCGTTAATGCTACTGAACAGATAGCCACCGATCCAGATTGCGGGAGTTATTTCCATACAGGTTGATACACACATATAAAAATCTTTGTAATCACACCACTTGAAGTAATATAGAGAAATTTATTATGAAAGAATTCGTTATTCCTTTTTTTATTCTGCAAAATGCACTAGTCGCCTCTTGACGTTTTGTTTTTTTTTTATATTACAATCTTCTGTTATCGCTGATTTTTTTTTTCTAACACTCCGACTAATACAGTAGTCTCCGGCGCGTGACAAGAGGTTGATTAATTGTATCTTCCCAATGATTGTTTTTATTCACTTGACACTGATTCAGCACTGCTTTGTGTGCACATTTCAAAGGTTCCCAATCAGTATATTCCGTTGGCTGCAAAGTGCATCGCACCACCGTTGGAACTTTCGTTTTGCTAAAGTTCATTACGTATGAAACTGGCTACCTAAATAATCTTTCACTACACGATGAGTTTCCTAACAAAAACACAAAACAAAAAAAAAAGCTTCACTGAACAGTATAAGAATGCATCATAACATTTTAACATTACCTTAATGCACATTTATTTGAGTTTAACTCTGCCATCGGCATCGGCCACATGAATCAATTGCATGCGCTTGTCGTCTAGAAACTCATCATCTTCAGTACACATCATACTCTTTTAGCATTCACTCGAAAATCTTCCTATATATTTCTTCGTATATATTGGACGCTATTGTAAATTATTTTTCTTCGTTGTGGCTCATATAAGCTCCAAATCCACACTTTTGTTTTCCGTAATCAATCAACTTTTTCACATGTATCTAGATAAAACACCAAAACAGTATAAATAAACCTCTATTAACTCACGTGTACACACTTAAATCTTCGGTTGAACTCTAATCGAAAATAAATCGTTATCAGGAAGCTGATAATTTTTTTCTCGATTAACTGATTGCGCGCATCACACACAACAGATACTCTTCACCGCTTTACACGCCATACAAAAGGAACGGGTACGGGTTACGATCAAATCAATTAGATCAATATTTTCATTTGCAACGAGCAAAAAGTCGAACAAATTTAGGCTTGCAGCACCTTTCGTCCACCAGTAGTGATCCAAACAACCGTCGGTCAGGATGCTTCAACCCCTTTCCAGTATCCTTGCTTGCTAGTTCCACACGGTTTCAGTCCAACACTGTTAGGAAATGCCACACACGAGCGAGTTGTTCACCGTACGAGGCGCAAAACAGTACTAAATGCTTGCCTCAAGCTGAATGTGTTTGAAACCGTCCGTCCGTTTGCTGCAACGCTCACCGTCGCTGTTGTTGCTGTTGTTGGGTGGCTTGGTCGCATATTTGCTCTGCTTCGTCCGATGCCTGCGTTGAAAAGATTCACTGTAAACCGATTGTCGCACGAGGGTTAATCATGCTGTATCACATGGTTATGCGACAAGTGAGAGGGAGGATTAGAGCCGAACATTGAAGCAGCATAGTGGTATGCAACATTCCATGGGGTGTGCGACGGAAATCAGCTGCATTCAGCAGTGTTGCAGCGATTTATTGTGGAGTTTGGGGTTGAGAGACGTGTAATTCATTTGTAGTCGCTCTTGTAATACCAAATTGGCGCAAAATCGCTGCCTGGCAGACGCACGTTGGAGACCGTTGATTTTGGATGATTTGATGATGTGTGTAGAATTTGATTGGCTAATATACTGTCGTTATACGCATTGCTGTCCCATATTATATGCAATCTATTTGGTTATATCTTTTTTTATTATTTCTAGGTATGGTAATTTACGTATTCTCGTCAATCTAAGGAGCTTCCGCAAAAAACTCAAAATATAAAATAAAAACTTATCCATTTTCAAGCAAGATTTAGTGATGACATTTTTTGACCTGTTTTTCAAACTTTACACAAACAACTCTTTATTACGTAACGCAAAGCATTACTCCCTCTCCCCTATGTCATAAATCGTATAAGTGAACCCATAGCGGCGCCAATGGTGTAGCGGTAAGCGTGATTGCCTCTCACCCCAGCAGGCCTGAGTTCAATCCCAGTCGGCGCCGTCGGGACTGAGGCATAATATCTCTGATCACACCTTCCTTCGGAAGGGAATTAAGCCGTTGGGGTCTGGTTCATGAGTTGATAAGTCGATAGGTAGGGTCCAGGTGTGGGAGCTGCTTCCCTGGCGGCGGTAGCATTGGTTCTCAGCACGGAAAACAAGATCGACGAAAAACAAATTAAGGAAAAAAAAAGTAACGCAAGGCTTTACTCTCTTTCCCTTATGTAATAATTCGTAGCGATAAAAGTGACCCATTATCCCTCTATAAGCGGTACGTAATTTATGGATGCTGCCTTGCAGCAGATTTTTCACCATTTTACACCTATCTGCTTCGCGTTCAGAGTGGAATCCCTCTGAATTTTTTTAAAATTCCAAGTTATTAGTGGACTGAAAAAATACATCCAAATGAGTGTCGTTCCCCCTGTCCATTACTGAATTTTAAAGTCATGACCATATTGTTTGCAAATTAGCATCAAACATGGAGTTACATTTGAGTATATCATGTCAATTAATGAGTTCTGTAAAAATTCCATTTTAGGGGCAGTAATGCTTCCTAAGTCAAAATTTCCGTTAGAATTACGTTGGTTAGTAATAGATTTCTACCCGCTGCAATAGCAGCATAGGTAGCTCCATTTACTCGCTGAACATTGTTAGCAGCGAGGGGATCAGGTATAGATGAAAAATTTGAAGCAGGGGTGATATTTGTACCTACGGGTACGAATATAGAATTTGTTCCTCGCTGACCGTTCTAACAGCAGAGGATTTTGTACCTGGTTGGGAACGTAGAGCGTTTCCTACCTGTCACTTTGAACGAGATTGTAGGATCGTTTTGTAAGTCTTACAAACCCAAACATTGGATTTGTGGTTTTCACCACAATTTGGACATTTAAATTTCTTAGGATCTTCCTTCGCTGGACAGCCGTCCTTTGCGTGAGAGGAATCACCACAATTCATGCATTTAGCTGGCATGTAGCAATTTATGTTCCGTAGCCTCATCCCACAGTGGTCGGAGATGCCAATTTGGTGAACTTAATTATTTTGTGGTTAAACCGTTGACTTAATCCAAAAAAAAAGAATTTTTCACAAAAACATTGCGCATATTATGACAATTACCAATATTTGTCATGGCATACTGTGAAAAAATAAAAAAAAAAACAAAAGAGATAGAAGGTTAGTTTTTCCAGCAAAGTAGTTATTGGAAACCCCTTTAAATTCAGATTTTTAAGTATAACCTTTTTTATAACAGTTTTTTAAGTGAACAATGTTCTTGATAAATGTAGAAAACATACAAATACACAGTCTTTTTTACACGGGTTTATTTACACGGTTTTTTTTACGACGATTTTCGAAATAACGTGGATTTTTGTACACGGTTTTTTTAAATAACGCGGTTTTTTTTACACGGTTTTTTTTTTTAAATAACGCGGTTAAAGAGCCAAAACATTCTAAGTGTTTTCTGAGGAATGGACTTAGCCAAAAAAACAAACTTGGAAGTGTACTTCGAGTGGATTCACCGGACAACATGGGTACATACATATTTTTGGAACGGGAACGACGTGTAGAGGCCGGAAATCGATGATTCATGCCATTTTGGAATTCAAGATGGCGGCTTCCGGTTTTGTGAAAAACTGTCAAATAGCCAACAATATGGATATTTTCGGAACCGAGACGACATTCAGAGGCCGGAAATCGATGATTCATGCCATTTTGGAATCCAAGATGGCGGCTTCCAGTTTTGTGAAAAACTGTCAAATAGCCAACAATATGGATATTTTTGGAACCGAGATGACATGCAGAGGCCGGAAGTCGATGATTTACGCCATTTTGGAATCCAAGATGGTGGCTTCCGGTTTTGTGAAAAACTGTCAAATAGCCAACGATATGGATATTTTCGGAACGGGAACGACGTGTAGAGCCCGGAAATCGATGATTCACGCAATTTTGGAATCCAAAATGGTGGCTTCCGGTTTGTGAATGTTTCAAAAAAATGTTATGTAACAAATTTTAATTAACTTTTTTTTTTCGATAATCTGTAATTAATCTTCTTACATTTACAAGAACTTCATAAATTCAATGTTGAACAACATGTGATTCCAGTGACTTGGTTGTGGAATGCATGTAGCACTAGAGGTTATACAGGTACAAGTGATAATGGCCTGCCGAGATTTGCTCAGCCGAGCTTGGTAGAAAAAAACTAAGTGTGTGGATAGTACTTAACATAACAGGAACTGGGGTTGAAGTTGTCGCTGACCGAATAGTCAAAGTCATGAAACACAGTGAACGAAGAATCCTTGTCACTGAAATCGATGTTTATCCAATAAGTCATCATCACCTGCTGGCTCCAAAATTCTGCAAAACCGGAAGCCGCCATCTTGGTTTCCAAAATGGCATGAATCATCGATTTCCGGCCTCTGCATGTCGTCTTGGTTCCGAAAATATTCATATTGTTGGCTATTTGACAGTTTTTCATAAAACCGGAAGCCACCATCTTGGATTCCAAAATGGCATGAATCATCGATTTCCGGCCTCTACACGTCTAGATTATACCATGCAAGAGTGGAAATGGCTGAATTCCAACACAAACCTGGTTAATAGTCTCTACCGAACAATCACAATTCAGGGAGTTAGAAGGAAAGGGGTGTAAGTGACCTTGATCGATTCTCTTCATCTCTTTCGTTAATAATTCAGCTGCAAACACATTCCTTGATGCGTTTGCTATTCTGTATGCTAGATTAGAAGCTTCTTTATCAAACTATATGGCAGAAATAGATCTGATTATACACGGAGAACAAATTCGTTAAGTTAAGATAACAATCCTAATAGTTACTTTCACATGGAAAAATATTGTTATTTGAAAGAAACCTATAGTTATTCCAACATTAATTTGACCGTCAACTCAATCATATCTACCTAATAGATTCAACTGTTCATCTTATACTCAATTCAACTATAATTTGATCAATTATAACAACCGTCAAATTAATTTATTTATATAATTTGGTTTCAAGTGATCATCATAAATCCACATACTTTTAACTTGTGATGCGTAGAGCAGGCCATAAGCTGGTTCTCACGCAGATGAACACGGTTCAAATCTAAGTTGAATGTTCTTGTTCACTTTTTTATGATTTTGCAGTTGTGTTTTTGAGATCGATAAAGAAGCAAAACAAACTTCCTTAATATGTCGATAATGAAGAGCAGTTCGTTTAATAAACATTGTAAAATTTTGCTTTTCTAACAATAGTTTTCTTGAATCAACTAAAGCATAGTTGTATTTTGAAGATTGACGTTTGTTCATCTACTGGAAAATATAGTTGAGCCAACCGAGGAGCCAACTATGGACTATAGTTGTTACCCTCTATATATAGTCAAATCAACTATAGTTTCGGGTTATCTCTAAAACAATTGAACAATATAGTTATTTTGACTGGAAAAATAATTGCGTCTGCTATAATTTGTTCTCCGTGTAAAGCTGCTATCAAAAGAGAAAGTCGATGAAGAGAATCGATCAAAGTCACTTACACCCTTTCTCTGACCCCTCAGCTTAATGTAATTCTGAGAGGTAAAATCTGAAAATCGTTTAATTTTTCGCTATTTGGTGAAATTTTGATGATCACCATAATCAGCAAGTTTATGTATACCGTAATGTACCGTAATTCAAGAGCAAACTTCCATTACAAAGCAATAAGTTTTTATATTCAAAAGTATGTTTGCCCTCGTCGTTTTGCTTTCTCATTATTAAAGTGAATAAATCGAACTGTTTGTTGCTAAGATGATTTCGGTGGTCCTAAGATGATGAATGGGCTGCACGTAAGGAGACGTGATTGATAATCCTCCCGAATATCCTGGTAAAAAGACTTTGACTTAAGTAACCTTAGGGGGTCACCAAACGACGTATAATAACTTTTGACTCGAAAACCAGTACTTTTTAGCATGAAAGCTAGTGATCTGCTTTGTATGATTAAAACCCTGCTTAATATGTTAAACATTGCTATCACTATGAATTGAAATTAGGATGCACCACGGTATGCACATTTGCACCACGTAGATATTTAATTCATACACATATGTATGTACCTACAACGTTTTACTGTTCATTACTCACCTACGGGAGCAGCTTTGTGGAAGCCAGCTGCTTTCAAGATGGTTAGGATTTACAAATGAGAGAAAATT